TGTATCGTTAAAAATTATTTTTTTATTTTGTACAAACAAAATAAATATATTGAAAAATATAAAAATAATAAAAAATTATACTTCAGATGTTAATTTAGTATCAAAAACGTAAAATATTTGAGTAGCCCAAGACATAGCCAAAGATTGACGTGCCACAGCACTGGTGAAAATTTAAATTTGCCGACTGAAATTCTTTCGGATGATTGACGTTTCAGATGATTGACTTTCGGAAAATCGACGCTCTACTGTACTTGTAAGTATACACTATATTTAATAATTATACTCTATTTTATATTTCTACAATATTAAAATAATAATATAATTCATCTAGATGTAGTGTACTTTGTAATAACTTAAATGATTGCTCAAGATCATATTATAATAAATTCTAAAAGAGATGGAAGTCAAAATCATTAGTTAAAAAAAGAGAGCTATAAAAAAGCTTTTCAGTTGTCTTTCTCCACTAATCTCAGATATGGAATCTTCTTTTAGTCACTCTCACTTAGAAATACTTTAATAGTTGCATTTCTTCTATTTCATATCAACAAAAAAATGTTTCAATTTTAGTAGTGTAAATTTTCTACAAATACAAAACAAAATCCAAAGAACAGATATAGGATACAGGGTGTTTCAAAAATACAGACAAAACTTCAGAAATGCAGTTTAAAGAAGAAAAATACAATGTAGTTTATGTAACAATATGGATCCAGAAATGTTTCATTTTGGAGTAAAAAGGATTTTTTGTCATTCTCCAGTAATATCTTAGTGAACCACAATGCATTCATTTGCTGCAATAAAATCTGAAACTCTTACAAACATTTATAGTAACCATGTCAAAGCAGAATGATCTTAAACTTAATTTAAACTTATTGAACCTCTTTTTGTAGAAGCATTTAAAGTCTTTGTTGATGCCAAAACTCTCCACTTATGTTCATTAAAAAACCTAAAATATTCCAAAAATTGTGATAAAATTAAAAATTGCCTATGCAATTCAATTACAAAAGAAAACAAACTGCATACCATTATTCATGATATAATGATGCTGATGATAGACATTTTAAATATAAAACTAGTAAAAAAAATATAACAGTGAATTAATCTCCTTTCATGCTTTCATTGATAAATATGAATATGAAAGACTATAAACTATTCTATTAGAATTCAGCAGAATCCAATTATTTGAATTTGAAAAAAATTGCTGTTTTGGAGTGTACTATCCAAAACTAAAGATTTTTAGAACAAAGTCTTGCAACAAGATTCTAGAGAAGTGGTATAATCTCAAGCATTAACTTGTAAAAAGATTTTGAATTAGGCATTGGAAAGAATGGGAATAACAAAGTTGGATAGAATGCAATTTTTGGAGAGTTTATTTTAAAGCAAGTAAAAAAAAGGAATCATACTTCATAACTAAATAGATATGAAATCTGATAAGTTAGTGCATATATTGAATGCTGTATATAATCAAAATATAAATATATATTATTATTTTTATGCAATTAATTTGCATAGAATCTGAAATGTTCTTCAGAAACAAAAAACAAAGAAAGTAACCTGGATAAGAACATTTGAATTTAACTTGTGCATAAAATTTTTTGAGACACCATAGTCATTTAAAAAGATTATTATTTATTATAAAAGAGCTTCTTGTCTTGAATATTGTTGATACTAATATCTCAAATACTATAGTAGAGATAGCAGAGACTTATCACACTGCAACATCAAAATGGCACTTCTATCATCAGAATGCAAGTTTATTACTGGTATGCATTTTGGTACACAAGACCCTCATCAGCCATAGATAAAAATATATAGATATCTGTTGTAGAACAAATTTGCAGAGAAATTGACATTAATTACAATCTACAATTTAAAACATACCTGTTCAAGATTTATTTCCACCCACACTGATCAGTACTATGAGGATAACATTATAAAACAGTCCTACAATATCTAAAAAATATCTTTACTATAGTATTTGAGATATTAGTTTCATCATTATTATTTATGCATATTTTGTAAATTTGACTTGATTAGCTGATTTTTTTTATGTCTTATCATATCATTTAATACGATAAGACAAAAAAAATCAGCTAATTATAAGTTTATAATTTTAACGAGCAAGTATTTATTGTGACATTATCACAATGTTGGGCTGCAATTTTTAATTATATTTTCATTTTATTTAATTTAAGATATATGCTCTCCATTTGAAATTAGTAGTGGTGGCTTTTCCCTTAACAATAGAGTTATGCCAATCATCTATCTAACACCTTTCAGGGAAAAATTTTTGAATTGAAATAACACACAACTTCCAGTTTGCATCAAAAGTTCATATGTAGTTAATTGGAACCTCCTGCCCCTAAGATTTCTATAGCTGGTCTTGTCTTTCATCTATCTAATTCCATTCTTGAGATTAAGGAAAGGCAGAAGGACAACAGTGGGAATTTATAGGTCTACAATTTGTTCAAATTGCAGCCCAATAATGTAAACATTAAGATTATTCTAAGAAATTATTTTACTAAAATTTCAGAATATGATATTAAATTTTGATATTTAGAAATATTCACAAAATAAGCAACTTACAGGCCCCATAACACAAATTATACGTTCTTTCAAAAGTCGAGAATAGATATCATAAGCCCTTTCTCCTCGGCCAGTTTGTTCAATAACTATGGGAATTAAAGGATAATTTCTACGGGATGACAAATGTAGACATCTCAAAACAGCATTTTGTAAATTACATTTTACTTCACTTGTCGCAATTTTTAATATCTGTAATAAAAATAATTTAATATAATTTTTTAAAATAAAATTACAGTAGAGCGTCGATCTTCCGAATCAATTGGGGACTGGGGTTGTTCATATAACTGATATTTCGGATAACCGATTTATGTACGAAAAAATAGTTTAACGTATCCGATGTTGAAATTTTTCTCTGTTGCGTGTCACTTCGAGTTGAATTTTCGTCGATGTTAAGCCTAACAAAAACTATTGTATCGTTAAAAATTATTTTTTTATTTTGTACAAACAAAATAAATATATTGAAAAACATAAAAACGATAAAAAATTATACTTCGGATGTTAATTTAGTATCAAAAACGTAAAATATTTGAGTAGCCCAAGACATAGCCAAAGATTGACGTGCCACAGCACTGGTGAAAATTTAAATTTGCCGACTGAAATTCTTTCGGATGATTGACGTTTCAGATGATTGACTTTCGGAAAATCGACGCTCTACTGTACTTGTAAGTATACACTATATTTAATAATTATACTCTATTTTATATTTCTACAATATTAAAATAATAATATAATTCATCTAGATGTAGTGTACTTCGTAATAACTTAAATGATTGCTCAAGATCATATTATAATAAATTCTAAAAGAGATGGAAGTCAAAATCATTAGATAAAAAAGAGAGCTATAAAAAAGCTTTTCAGTTGTCTTTCTCCACTAATCTCAGATATGGAATCTTCTTTTAGTCACTCTCACTTAGAAATACTTTAATAGTTGCATTTCTTCTATTTCATATCAACAAAAAAATGTTTCAATTTTAGTAGTGTAAATTTTCTACAAATACAAAACAAAATCCAAAGAACAGATATAGGATACAGGGTGTTTCAAAAATACAGACAAAACTTCAGAAATGCAGTTTAAAGAAGAAAAATACAATGTAGTTTATGTAACAATATGGATCCAGAAATGTTTCATTTTGGAGTAAAAAGGATTTTTTGTCATGCTCCAGTAATATCTTAGTGAACCACAATGCATTCATTTGCTGCAATAAAATCTGAAACTCTTACAAACATTTATAGTAACCATGTCAAAGCAGAATGATCTTAAACTTAATTTAAACTTATTGAACCTCTTTTTGTAGAAGCATTTAAAGTCTTTGTTGATGCCAAAACTCTCCACAAGCAAATTATGGCAGCTTGTCAGATGAGATGCACCCCTCAGGAATTTGGGTGTGTGTAAAGAACAATGATACAACAAACTGACCCCTGTATTCAGGCAGGAGGTAGATACTTTGAACATTTCATATGAAGTAATGTGAAGAGAGAGTTTATTAATTAACTCCTAAACAAAACACCTGATACTTAAACACAATCAAGGCTCCCCATCACATGGTAGACTACCGTAGCTGGTGAGCCACCAGCACCCAAGTTAAATATGGAAAGTTATCAGAAAGACCTACTGATCCAAGAGAAAGAGATCTGATATGGAAGGTTTGTAGGAGGAGGTCATCATTAGTACCATTGACGCAAGAGAGCATTGAGCTTGATGGGAATACTTTGTTGGAAGTTGGAGAAAGTATTCATCCTTCTTAAAGATTGGCCACATCACAAGAATGGCAACAGATGTACGTAGTAGTAATGGCAATAGACGTACTTACTACAACCTATAAGTGTATAAGATAGTGGTGCTTTCACGAGCTAGTATCCCTACAGCTAGTCAAGCTAGGCCCAAATTCCTTTCTCAAGTTCTCCTGGAAAGGAACAGTATTGTCTGATTCTACTAATGCTCCATGTAAACTAGATATATTGTGTAAATTGTATAATATAAAAAACTAGTACCAACTATACTTTTTACAAATAGTTTAAATCTGTGGTTTTTTGAAAGTCATTGACATCAATGCTCAATGGATGACGATGTTCAATAGTATGACAAATGGACTTACTACATATACATTTGGAAAATCATCACTATAATAATTATTTAATTATTTGCCTGTTTCATGCAAATTTTTCTTCTCTTTCACATATATAGAAATATATAATCCTATATATCTTGTGATTTTTCTAAACTAAAACTGAATGCCTCTTCAAATTTCCAAATAATTGGATAGCTGACCAAGACATTCTATTTCAAGATTAGTTGTATTCGAATAAATAAAGATTTTATTTTTTATAAATTTGCAATTTTCTCAAATATAATTTGATTAGATCATTATTAATCAATTAAAAATAATTACTTGCTTGTTAATTAAAAATAGTTATCAAATATTTACAGGGCTACCAAAAGTGTAACAGGACCCTGCACAAAATACATATTGGAGGGTTCTATACTTTATATAATTTAATTTGCTATAAAAAGTAAATGAATAAACAGTGTATGAGGGCATGTACTTCTGCTGCTCCCTTTTCCCCTCTGGCCATTCCTGAAAATTTATACTGCAATGATTAAAACATTTAGTATAGCATTGAATCTACTCTAATGTTTTCATTAAACTTATATATTTACAAATCAAAAGCCAAAAATAACATTTTAAATATTAAAGAGTACAATTTTATCTCAGCTGAGTATCTTTGATATCCCACTGATGAGATTATAGACTCAGCCACTGGAGTATACAAACCTGAAAGGTTCATGAGTCAAAGAGTGACATTTCATACCTAGGGCCCTCTAAACTTTTCCTTGTGACCCTTCTGTACTAGTCAAACATATCCAAAAATTAGTCCTCTTTTTTGAACTTTGGTCCTTCCAACTGTTTGCTAGGAAAAGCATTATTATCTTTTTACTATGTATGTTTAGTAATAAAATTTATTTTTGCTATGATCATCAATTTTAAGCAGTAAATATATGTCAATAGCTTCAAGTTGGCAATACACTTACAGAAAAAAGCTCGTTTCTAGCAGAAATAAAATCTTTCCAATTAAAGAAATGGCTCGTAATAATTATTCATTAAAATAATCAAATAAAGACCTCTACCTTATTAAAACAACTGGCACGATTCATAATTGTTGACATTTTCTTTTAAAAGTACACGTGATAAAATAGCGACCTCTCTCGAGGGAAAAAGATTCCTCAAGAATATTTTATATATACTGTATATATATATTTATTTATATTACTACATTTAATAACAATTATATTAATTTATGTTTTAATATACTTAGTATTTTAAAGGTTATTTCAATATTTTTGCAATTTAGGAAAACGCGCCCATAATAAATACATTAGTCCGATTATTTATTGAAATGAGATAAAATTGAGGTTAATCAAAATCATTTCAGTGTAAAAATATCTTTATAGATAAAGCAAGCTTTTTATAGCGTTAAAATGATTCTTCGTTTAATACAATCGAAAGGCAGTGTAAGATTCGAGTCTAGGTAAATCATATTTATAAAACTGTACATATTTTTATCTTTATACTACTGTATTATTATTTAATTAATTTGTAAATATTGTCCCATCTCCAACGTTATTTAAACTGGAATAGCGTATACTTTTTGATTGAACTAACCCAGACATTAAGAAATATTCACTCAGAAGACTAAGACAGGTACCGCCCTCTGAGGAACCCGGTTCGTATTCGGAGATTTAGGTAGTAATCTTCGAGAATTTCCATAAATGCTTTGCCCTAATATCCAGAATTTCGGGACATAATGGGCATGATAAGAAGTGTTGCAGTGCAGAGTTTAAAAAAAAAAATTGTTCACATGTCTCAAACTTTTTCACACGTACTATGAGATATATGAATATATGAAATGAATAACGCTGTATATAATACATTACATTATGAAAAGTTATAAAGCATAATTGATAAGACATAATAGTAATTTGAATTGTTTATGATATAAAAACATATACTTCTAGTTTAAAATGAAAATTTTGATGTTAAAATAAATTAAGTTTTACTTGAATGTAATTCAGAAAATTGTAGAAACATGTAAAAGGTAATATGAATTTGTTTTTACGAACCAGAAAGTTTTGGTTTCAATTCTCTCGTAGATTGCTTCAAACTATTCATTGTTGTGTAACTCTCTTTTAATAGTGATGTGCATTGGAGCAAAATTGATCGAAAATACCAATATTCTACTTTATTTATTAAATCGATAATAATTACTTATCATTCGGAGAAAATAATATAATGTATATATACGTGTACATATATCAAGACAACTTTTTACTTTTCGGCGTTATACGAAGAAACGTTTCATCTTTTGCCATAACTAATTTTGTCGCTACGTCTCTAATAATAATCTATGAATAAAAAGTTAACAAACACAGAAAATTATGAAATCAATACCGGTATATATATATATATATACACACACCTGTATTAGGGTTTCTCATTTCCCGGTGTTTTGCTTGTCCCGGGATTCTGGGATAAAAGTGAACTGTTTCCCGCCGGGATAGAATTAATTATTTTTGAGATATACAAAATATCTTGAAATCAAATGATATAATTATTTTTAATTTTTTAAAGTAATTTAATACGTTCTATAACCTCCAAAATCATATTAATTAATTAATTAATTAATAATGTTGTGTAAGATATATATTAAAAATTATCTTTGAATTACGTAGAAATTTTCACAAATAGAAAAAAACATTATTAAAGTTTGCTGGAAACTGCATACAACAACAACAACAAAATGTTTTGAATTGAAATTGAGTTAAAAATTAAAAAAAAAATGAACTTAGATCAAACTTCTAACTTAGAAGGTAATTTTCGTTTTTTAAATAAAACATAAAAATTTACAATAATAATTTGTAAATACACTCAAACAAACCTTTACATATGCAGCCGTAATTTAATAAATAAATTCAAACGTTTTCGACCATATTCAATGGCCTTTATCAAGAAAAACTGAAAAATCGAACTTCGAATTAAAGATTTGCGTTACCGATACAAGCGTTATTTTTGGAACGTTTTTAAAAAGATATTCTATCGTNGTTGCTAAGGGCAGACAAAGATGCTGTGGACAAGAACACTATTCCAGGAGTCTACAAAATCCCGGTTACAGACACACGGAGGCAGAATATGATGTTCTACATCGGGGCCACCGGAAGATCCATCAAACAAAGGCTGTTAGAGCATCAGAGAAATATAAGAAAAGAGCAGCCATGCACAGCGCTGGCGACGTACGTCTTAGCCGACCCACAAGAGGTCAAAGCGGAGTGGGACCAAGCTAAATTGGTACAAATAGTACGCGACAGAAAGCACCTCAGATACGCCGAAGCCTGGCATATCTGCAAAACAAGCCAAAAAGGTTTAGCTATCAACTTCCGGGATGCAAGCAAAATATCGGCAGCATGGCGAACATGCATAGCATAGCAGCAACTCTCTTGACTCTTGTTTCTATGTGCACTTTATTGTATTTTAACGTATTTACGGGCATTATTTTAACACTTTATTGTGTTTTAATGTATTTAATGGTATTATTTTAACTATTTATAGCCAATATGTAGAGATGGCGCTTATACGATAGAATATCTTTTTAAAAACGTTCCAAAAATAACGCTTGTATCGGTAACGCAAATCTTTAATTCGAAGTTCGATTTTTCAGTTTTTCTTGATAAAGGCCATTGAATATGGTCGAAAACGTTTGAATTTATTTATTAAATTACGGCTGCATATGTAAAGGTTTGTTTGAGTGTATTTAGTTAAGAAATGCAGTCTCGGACGAGTTATAATAATTTGTATTATAAGATTTTAAAAAGCAAAGATAGTCAATAATCCGATCACTCAATCCAATTTTATTTTAGTAATGAAAAGTCTTGCTACGGAGAATATCCTTTCCGATTCAATTGATGTGATTGGAATTGTATTTAACGCATTTAAGAGAAGACAAATATCAATATTTTGTGTTTTTCACCAGTAGACTAGAAGATTTCTAGTTCGTTTTCGAGATTGTAGTGTTACTTTTGCTCTCTAGTATTCGTGATTTATCTACGTCCACTGCTTTAAAAGAAATATCATAGCCAAATAATTCGGCAGTTCGTTTGACTTTAATAATCAGGTTTATGAAGAAAAACTTCATACTTGCAGACTTCATACTCGTTTGTATCCTTACCCAATTTGCACAACCTGGCAATACGCAGTTATTGAAGCTACTGGGCATGGTTAAAAATTAAGACAGCATAAGGACAATTATTCCAGATATTACAGGTTCTGACAAGTAAAGAATTTTCAGAGTCCTGTCACAAATAAGCTACATATTGATTATTGATCATTTGTGACAAACCATAACGAGCAAAAATTAAAAAAAAAACTAATAAGTAGGTTTAAAATTAATAAATACAAATGTATTCTGACAGTTTATGAGTTAATTACGCTTTCTATTTACAAAATTTCCTCAATCTTAACACAAAATAAGAAAAAGTGAATTTTTAAGCAATTTGCGGGATTTCCCGGGATAAAAAAACAACCGGGATCCCGTTTGAGAAACCTTAATATATATACTAGCTAGCCATGTGTAGTTTTTTCCTGTTTCTTTCATGTATTTAACACCTAAATAGGGGTCAAGTTACTATAGAAATTCCCCACAAATGACATCTCCCCTGGCAGATTGTCTGTGTTGCGTTAATTTATCCCATTACCCAATACAACAATATCAATATAACTTATATTTAGGTCTAGATTGTAGATAAATGAGGATGTTTGTTCGCTATGCATGCATAGGCCGTTCGACCAATTGTTACGAAACTCCGCAGTTACGTTCACATACTTCTAACATAGATAATGCCGCAGTACATTCCACCACAAATTATTGAATGGGTTTCTATATATCAATTAATTTCCGTCTACATTGGATTTGCTGGGTTTACGTGTAGCGCCATCTTTTGGCAAAAATTTAAGAAAATAATAAACTAAATATGCTTCTTATAAAAAAGATATAATTTTAAAAATATATACTGTATATTATAGTCACTTGATTACTGTGACAATGGTATAGCGCGAAATAGACACGCTATTACGCCATTACTGCGATAGGTAGCACATAGCACTTTCCTTCGTGGTGTTTTGCCCCTGTACATCATACTTTTCCTGTTAGAAATACAGTCGTATCAACTTCGTTCAGGGGAAAATTTTTGAATTGAAATAATGTGACTTCCGGTTTGCACTGGAAGTTCGTTTATAGTTAATCTGGGCATCCTGCTCTTAAGCTTTTCATATCTGGTCTCGACTTTCATCTAATTCTGTTCTCAGATTGCGGAAGAACAGACAAGTGGACGCCAGTGGGAATTTATAGATCTACAATTTTTTCAAATTGTAGCCCAATAAGTACCCTCCAGTAACCGAGTGGATGAAACCACCGAACACTGGTGGTCAGTCATGGGTTCGCACATCACCAACAGACTTTTTTTTTTTTAAACTCTTTCCGCCCTATGGGCACTAAGAGGGCTTCTTTTTGCAAACCCATTATGGGTACGACCAGGCCCACAATGGGCTGCCAGATGGTGAGGGATGGGGCCTGACGTATCCGAACAGACTACCCCCGAAAAATTCCTGGGGTTTTTCAACCCGTTCGGATTCGAGCCTGGGTCCCCCAGAGTGGTAGGCTGCCACCTTGACCGCTCGGCCATCCAGCCGCTCACCAACAGACTGGAAAGCACTTTCAGACTATATACCTATCATCAAAAGCCAACAAGAGAAATTAAAGATTGAGAGTAGTAGTAATCAGACACTCAACTTTTATTTCCTTTTTTGATTCCTGATGATAATCCATATCCAAAAGGCTTTATCATTTTTAAAG